GTGACTGTATCTAGGATCGTCGTAAAGGTTTTCTAGATGGTAAGTTACCCTAGGCTAGGGGCCCTGTCTGTATACTGAGACCAAGCAGGACTTAAATGGTCTTTGAAAACAATAGCATGAATGAATGAACATCAGACAAGTCAAAAATAGAAGGAAAAATGACAACGGCAGGCATAATGTGAAGGCACTGGGTAATTTAGTAATCTTGCCCTTTTATTTCACCAATATGGTTCAATGAAAAGAAATGAAATATAAGGTGAGAAGCCCTGGGTCATGTCCTCTGACTCATTCTGGCTATGTGATCTTCTTGGGAAAGTAATTTCATATATCTGAGTTTCAGTTTCCAGATGGTTACAATGATAGTAATAATTATTAAAGTACCCATTTCATGGGAGTGCTTGTGAAAATGAGATATAATTTTGAAAAAGTTCTAAAGCATTTTACTATCATTATAAAGTTAGTACCAGTATAACCACTGGTAGTTCTACACGTAGATAACCTGTGAAGACACAATTAGAAATTTTTTAGTAATTGCTGAAACCTCTCAAATTCATTGCCTTAGGTAGGAAATTCTATGTGGGTGGAATAAAAGACTCAGAGTGACTGAAAGAGTGGCCAATTTTCATAAAACCAGACAGTTTATAAGACACTAGTCATCATCATTTGAGCATATACTATGCACCAGGCACCATGCTTACGGATCTTACAAACCTTAATTCACTTCAACCTCACAATCATCCTCAAGGTGGGTGAGGTAATCATGCAATATATTATCAAAACCAGAACACCTCTGAGAGTGAAAGGGGTGCTTTGAATCATCACACAGAACAGCAGCTGTAAACCAGACTGTCCTGAGCAAAACCAGAACATGTCATTTATGACTCTTCACAGTTGAGGAAACTGAAGCTCACAGAGGGAAGCAATTTGCCAAGGCCACGAGCTTCGACAGGTGGAAAAGCTGCCCCGGACCGGTGCTCTGGAAGCATCACTTTATACAAGCCTCCTCCATGTGCAGTCACAGAGTAAGGCTACTGTCCTTCTGTCGTCTTCTAAATCCTCCTCCAATCTAAATATCTCTTATCAGTGAAGACTAAAACAGAACCTGAGATGCCAGTTCAAAGAAAAACAGAAACTAGAAAAGAAAGCTTCTGTTTCTCTCAATACCATTAGAGCCAACGATTTATTGCCACAATCCCAGTCTAATTTATCTGTTTGGGGGGGAATTTTATGCAAGAGATTGAGTAATGACTGACATTCTTTCTGCTGAGACAATGGGGCCTCTATGAATGTTTCCTTGATTCAGTGAAGATATTCATCAAACATAACCTCCAGCAATGGCAGTTGGAGAAATGCCTTCTCAAGGAAGTGTTCTGTCATCTATAACTGAATTTTCCTCAAATACCTGAATAACCTCTTTGGTAGTACCTGGTACACACTGAAAACTGAAAGAACAAAAAAATGTCAAGGCTAGGACAATACTAAAGCGATGCCTTACTTTTTGATTTCACAGTTGAATAAAAAGGTATTTTGTGAGATTTCTGAATCTCTTTGCAGACAGCATTTTTCATGCAGCATGTTTACTATTTAATGATATACATAACATATATAGTTGGAAATATTTCAAGCAATTTCTCTTCTTGCTACACTACACCACTACTTTGAAAGATGTATGTGGATATCATTAGCAAAATACCTTTCACCACACCATAAACACAAGTCCTACTTGGGAAATGTTTTGCATTAGGATAATTATTCTGGAACGATTAGCCAGAATAAATAACCAAAACAGACGTCCCCTAAGTTTTCTGTTCTAATTTATGTCCTTAACTTTTGCCCTATTAGCAGCTCTCATTTTAGGAGAGTGTTTCTATCCTAAGCACATAATAGATGCTTAATTATTTCTTGAATGCAAGTTACGTGCTTTTCATCCTAATTTTGCTCTCAGACCATTTGTCCCTTAAGCATTTGTTAACTTACCTGTCCCTTCTTCTCTATAGTTCACTGCTCTCCTCACCATAGCCCCACCTCCACTGCCCACCTGGAAATACAACGTGAAGGGTTTCCCCAGTAGAATTTTCCCTCTAAACAGTTGGGATCATGTTTAAAATGATCCCAACTGTTAGAATGACATTTAAGGACATGACTGCAGTTAGGGGTCTTGGTCTTAACGTGGAGACCACAAGATGTTAGCTTGAAGCCCCTCGTAACAGTTAATGGATTCCCACCTGATCTCAAACGTCAACTTCATCATATACTAAATCCCTAAAGATTTAGGTCTACTCCTGGACTTTACAGTCTGTTTTTAATATTCTGTCCTATTGGTCTGTATATCCAGGTGCCACACTGGAGTGATTCTTGACTCTTTATGTCTTAATACCTGGTCAGGCCGGTTCTCCTTCCCCCACCACTGCTCTTCTGTTTTACAGCTTTCCCAGGTAGGAACCTTGGACTCAGTTTCTCCAGTCCTCGCCCTCCTCCTCCCAGCCCCTAAAATAACTCCAAACGAAAACAGAACAAAACTACTCAACTTTTTACAGTAAGTCCCCTACATATGAATCTTCAAGTTGCGAACTTTCAAAGATGCGAACCGTGTTCACATGTCCAATCACTTAAGTCACATATCTGGCGTACACTGTCACATGCGTGCATCCTCCACAAGTGCTTATGCTTTTGTGTACTTTACTGTACAGTACTGTATAGAGTAGGGTAGTACAGTATCTTTATTTCAAGCCCAGGTTGTCCGGAAGCAAGCGTAAAAGCAGCAGTGATGTAGCCGGTACCATACTGTACTTTTCAAGGTACTATACTGTAATATTAAATATGTTTTCTTTATTTTTTGTGTTTTTTTATACGTATTGTGTGAAAAGTATTGTAAACCTATTACAGTACAGTACTATGTGGCCGATTGTGTTAGCTGGGTACCTAGGCTAACTTTGCTGGACTTACGAACACACTGGACTTACGAACATGCTCTCGGAACAGAACTCGTTAATATGTAGGGGACTTACTGTATTGGTATTGTGTTAATTTTTAAAATTAACTTGGGCAGAAGTACAGCTCCGATCTTAGAGAACAATTTTCCACTCACCACTTTCTAGATAAAGAAATTAATGCCTTGAAGGCCCAAGTGATACATCCAAAGAAATGCAGCAAGTGGCAGAGCTAACACTCGAAATTTGTCTCCTTAACTCCTAGAATAACACCATCTCTTAACTTTAGCTTTTAACTTCCCCCTTCCTCACCATTCACAGCCACTCTTTGGATCTCGAGGTCCTTAGGGCTTCTTGCCTGTTGCAGTAGTCTATAAATGTTCTTCTTACACACCTCACCCTCTCCCAACCCCTTCCCCATTTCGTGACTGCCCAAGTCAGAAGAATTTCTCTTTCGAATGTCACTATATGACAAACATTTATTGCATCATGTTAATATATGTAAAAGTTTTCATTCTGGTGAGTTCTCCCTACCTGAGAGCTCTAAGTTTCTTGAGGCAAGTACAGATATCTTATTAATCTTCGCATTTTGTAGTAGCAGGTAAATGCTATATACATTAAGAAACATTTATTCACTGGCTGCTGCTTCTTCCTGGAATGTCCTTCTCCACGATTTCTGCATGGCTCACTCTTTTAATCCCATCACCTCTTTGCTCAGGAAGGCCTACCCCTTTAATTTAAAACTGCAACCTCCTGTTCTGTTTTATTTTACTCTACAGCACACGTCACTTAGTACAGCATCATTGCTTATTTATTCTCGGTGTCTCACCATCAAATCAAAGCACCATCAAGGACGAGTATTTCTTTTGCTTCATTGTTACATCACCAGCACCTAGAAGAGTCCCTGGCACACAGAAGATGCTTAATAACTACTTTTTATTGTTTTTTTTTTTTTGTTTTTTATTTTGCGGTACGCGGGCCTCTCACTGTTGTGGCCTCTCCCGTTGCGGAGCACAGGGTCCGGACGCGCAGGCTCAGCGGCCATGGCTCACGGGCCCAGCCGCTCCGCGGCACGTGGGATCCTCCCGGACCGGGGCACAAACCCGTGTCCCCTATATCGGCAGGCGGACTCCCAACCACTGCGCCACCAGGGAAGCCCAATAACTACTTTTTAAAAAATGAATTATAATTCTGTGTTTAAAGTAGTGAAGGTGATGGATGTGTTAATCAACCCAATTGTGATGGTCGTCTCACAAAGCACACGTATGTCATCACACTTTAAATATATAAAAATGTATTTGTCAATTCTATTTCAATAAAGCTGAAAAAACTTAATCTAAACAAAACAAAATCCTCACCATGTAATTCATCTTCTGATTTTAATTTTCCTTACTCACACCAACAAGAGAAAAGTGAGTTTTTACAATTATAGGCTAGATCAATTTTGAAATAGCTGCTTTTCCTAGTATAATAAAAGACCTTCTTTGTATAGATCTTCCTCAACTTATGATGGGGTTTTGTCAGATAAGCCCACCGTAAGTTGAAAACAAACGTCAAAATGTATATAATTCACTAACCTACCGAACATTGCAGCTTAGCCCAGCCTACCTGAAACATGCCCAGAACACTTAACATTAGCCTAACATTAGCCTACAGTTAGCCTACATTAGCCTACAGTTAGGGCAAAACATCTAATGCAAAGCCTACTGTATAATAAAGTGTTTAATATCTCATGCAATTTATTCAATATTGTACGGAAATCAATACACTGATTATGTCCCTTTAATGAATTCCTTGGGTCCTGAACTTACCTTCTTTGGACTAATTTTAGACTTACAGAAAAGTTGTAAAGATAGTATGGAGAATTCCTTGTGTACCCTTCACCCAGTTTTCCCTAATATTGACATATTACATAATCATGGTACATTTGCCAAAACTAAGAAATTAACGTGGGATAATACTATTAACTAAAAAACAGACTTATTCTGATTTCACCAGTTTTTCCAACTTATGTCCTTTTTTTCTTCTGGGATCCAGTCCAGGATCCTCTGTTGCATTTAGAAGCCTTACCTTTGGATCTGGTTCTTCATCCTCGTCTTGATAATCATCGCAGAATGGACTGGAGTTCGCTGCAAAGGTGGGTCCCTGGGAGTAGTACTGAGAACTCCGGTAGCCATCCTGCCGCAGCTTATCACATTCTGCAGGGGTACAGGCCAGGGAGGGGAGAAAGGGCTTTAAGAACCAGGATTAGTTTAATCCTCCTTACTTACCTTTCCTAGTAATATTTCTCTACGCATAACACAATTTCAAAATAATGACAATATTAATAATAAAAATTATGGTAAAAAGAACTACGAATTAGTAAAGCAGCGGCCACACTCTACATGCCACGTTAATACACTTCAAAGGGATTACCTTTACACCTCACAACAGCCCTCTGAGTCAGCTTTAGGGCAATTAAATCACTTGTTGTGTAATGTTACACAAGTAAGCAGTGGACTCAGAATTTGAACCCAAGGTCTTACTTACCATAATTTTTTTCCAGTTTTATTGCAGTATAGTTGATTTACAATGTTGTGTTAATTTCTGCTATACAGCAAAGCAACTCAGTTATACACATACATATTCTTTTTCTTATTCTTTTCCATTATGGTTTATCACCAGGTACTGACTATAGTTCCCTGTGCTATACAGTGGGACCTGGTTGTTTATCCATCCTATATATGATAGTTTGCATCTACTAATCTCAAATTCCAATCCTTCCCTCCCCCACTCCCCTCCCCCTTGGCAACCACAAGTCCGTTCTCTATGTCTGTGAGTCTGTTTCTGTTTCGTAGATATGTTCATTTGTGTGGTATTTTAGATTCCACATATAAGTGATATGTGATGTTTGTCTTTCTCTGACTGACTTACTTCACTTACTATGATAATCTCTAGGTCCATCCATGTTGTTGCAAATGGCATTATTTCATCTTTTTTATGGCTGAGTAATATTCTGTTGTATATACATACCACCTCTTCTTTAACCATTCAGCTGTCGATGGACATTTAGGTTGCTTTCATGTCTTGGTTATTATAAATTACGCTGCTATGAATATAGGGGTGCACGTATCCTTTTGAATCAGGGTTTTGTCTGGGTATATGCCCAGGAGTGGGATTGCTGGATCATATGGCAACCCTATTTTTAGTTCTTTGAGGAACCTCCATACTGGTTTCCATACTTACTATAATTTTTGACATGAAACAATTGATTAAGTAATTCCATATCAAAAAACACAAGCAATTCTCATGCTAGTCTTGTTTTCTAGACTGATTAGCTGGAAGTGACAAGAGAAATCATGGATTATAGTGCTCTCATTTTGTTTTTACTTCTCAATTTAACTTTGATGCTAAACAGCCTATAATCACTGTGCAGAATGTAGTTAGTACAAGCTGGCTGGCAGTCTGAGATGTCTTCCAGTCCACGGAGGAATGCCTGGCACCACTGAGTGGAAGGTAGCAGCCCTGGATCGCAGGGAGACTAGGACCACTGGCTGCTCAGAGATTAGAGATTCTCTTCAAGGAGCAACAAACCATTGCACTGATAACTCCCATTGGTGGGGGTGAGCACAGAAAGAAGAGTTCTAATGGCTTTTCAAAGCCCTAGGAGCTCTCCTATTACCCAGATACCTCAGAGGAGCATTTGCCTTGCAAAACGATTCCCCACAGGGTTCCTTTAAATATCCAGCTTGGTAAAGGAAGGTGACATGTGTTTGGTTTTGGACAAGTTTCTTCTTTGCACAGCTTTACAAAACCATGCGCCTAATGGCACAGAACTAAAGTAGGGCATCTTCAGAGTTCCCTTCTAACACTAGGAGCTAAGCTTCTTCTTCAAAGAGGAGATTAATAGTTGCTTTAGTGGAGGGATAAAAATTCTGCAACTGGAGAATAAAAAAATCCTTACTCTCCTGTGCTATCTACCTCACAGTGGGAGTGGAGAACCAAACCAAAACTATAAATCAGATTTTTTAAAAGTCCCACGGAAATAGTCACGAGGCTCTTTTAGAATGCCAAACTAACTTAAAAATTAATAATTTAATGATATAATAATCATAAGAGAGCTAAACCCCACTACTTCAGTTACTTATGGGCTGAACAATGTGTGGGCTGGCAACCACTGTTAATACTGAGTAAAAGAGAAAATTAAAAAAAAAAATTTCGGAAACTTCCAGAACACACTTTTAAAAATGAGGATTTACTAACCCTAACCCTTTTCAGTGAGAAATACTTTCACATTTTCTCCAATATTTGACAATCTCTCTGCAAAAGTAGATAGTACAACCAGACTCTATGCTCTCGTTCTACAGCGATGTTACCTGGAGCGTGACAGCTAGTTTTCAAACGGTGTTCTGTGCAGAGTTCTGGGATTCTGTAAATATTTGATTTTATTTTTTTATCTTAAAGCTAAGATAAAAAATAACAGCTCCATAGTTCTACATGTCATTAACTTGTATTGCTAAATTAACTTTTCTGTAGTCCTATAAAACTGAAGTCGCCTAAGGATTCAGGGTGAACCTCGTAAAACAAACCAATAAAACCTATTACCACTGGCAGCTACTTATCACGCAGTTCAGTGCTTTCAAACAGTTGCCAAACAAAACAAAATACAAAGTGAAGGCCAAGGGCCTCTTCAACTAAGTCCTTTCCCTGTTCAGAATAATCCTTTCTCCCCTCATCCACTGACCTTATGAAAAGTACAAGTCTCAAATTAGAGAAGTTTATAATATTAAAAAATCTGTTTCACGTACCAGGTACCATGTAAGAATGTATTTGAAAAAGATTCCTCTGCAAGGGACTGCTAGGCTAGATCATCTCTAAAGGTGATATTAGTTCTGATATTCTTGGCAATAATATTAAAAATAAGCAAAGTGCTATCATCAAAAAGACAAGAAATAACAAGCGTTGGCAAGGATGTGGACTGTGCACTGTTGGTGGGAATGTAAAGTGGTGCAGCCACTATGGAAAACAGTATGGAGGTTCCTCAGAAAATTGAAAATAGAAGTATCATACGATCCAGCAATTCCATTTCTAGGTATTTACCTGAAGAAAACAAAAACACTAATTCAAGAAGACATATGTACTCCAGTATTCACACAAACATACAGAGGACTATTACTCAGCCATAAAAAAGAACGAAATCTTGCCATTTGCAACAGCATGGATGGACCTAGAGGGTATTATGCTAAGTGAAATAAGTCAGACAGAGAAAGACAAATACTGTATGATTTCACTTATATGTGGAATCTAAAAAACAAAACAAACCAGAAACAGACTTATAGATACAGGGAGCAAGTGGATGGCTGCCAGAGGGGAGGGAGGTGGGGTTGGGCAAAATAGGTGAAGGGGATTAAGATGTACAAACTTCCAGTTATAGGGCTTCCCTGGTAGCGCAGTGGTTGAGAGTCCGCCTGCCAATGCAGGGGACACGGGTTCGTGCCCTGGTCCGGGAAGATCCCACATGCCGTGGAGCGGCTAGGTCCGTGAGCCATGGCCGCTGAGCCTGCACGTCCGGAGCCTGTGCTCCGCAATGGGAGAGGCCACAACAGTGAGAGGCCCACATACCACAAAAAAACACAAAACAAACCAAAAAAAAACCCTTCCAGTTATAAAATAAATAAGTCACAGGGATATAATATACAGTATAAGGAATACAGTCAACAATACTGTAATAATTTTGTATGGTGACTTATTAGGATTGTTTAGTAACATATTTAAATATCATATTGGTATGTTGTACACCTGAAACTATATTGTACAACAGTTACACTCCAATTACAATTTTTTAATTAAAAAGAAATTTAAAGTAGCCTAATAACTCGATACCCGTTGAATCTTAAAAGACCAAAATATTGTAAAATTATTATCCATAAGTTAAAAGCATGAAAGGCTCACAATTATTAGTATTTCCAATGTGTGTCACCTTTTAAGCCTAGTTTAAAAGATAATGCCTTTTTTTCCCCCAAGATTAAGTTTATGTCACAAAAATATTTAAATAGTAGTATAACAAACAGTAGCATATCAAATGAACACGATGCTGGTCTAAGATTAAATTAGGCCATATAGGGACTTCCCTGGTGGTGCAGTGGTTAAGAATCCACCTGCCAATGCAGGGGACACAGGTTCGATCCCTGGTCCAGGAAGATCCCACATGCCGTGGAGCAACTAAATCCGTGCGCCACAACTACTGAGCCTGTGCTCTAGAGCCCGTGAGTCACAACTACTGAGCCCACACGCCTACAGCCTGTGCTCCGCAACAAGAGAAGCCACCGCAATGAGAAGCCTGCGCACTGAAATGAAGAGCAGCCCCCACTCGTCGCAACTAGAGAAAGCCCGCGCGCAACGGCGAAGACCCAACGCAGCCAAAAAAAAAAAAAAAAAGTCCATATAAATTTATGGCAGATGACCAATTTTTTATACCCTTATCAGATTTCTGCAATCTAGTAAACTCATCAAATTCCATTGCCATTTATCTTATTCCAACTCTACGGGAAATCTAGGAAAATTTCCTCCTGTCAAGTTGGAATGGCTCTCAGTTTCTAAACCATGGCTTTGTTCATTAAAAACTGAGTTTATTGTCTGTGGAGTGAGATGTAAGTGAGTACGAGCCATCATGAATAAACAAAGACTTTTCAAACACTGAACTGATGGTAAGAGCAAGGCAAAGCATAATTTAAAGCCAGGTTATGCCAGTAACCACAGGAGGGAAACACGATACTAAATGTAACAGAAGCTCTGTCTTTAACACATACGTCTCTTGCAACAGAAATTAAGAGTAAAACCATGCTATTGTTCTCACAGTACTACTTGGATAAAGGTGTCACTGTTTATTGTGTCCTCTGGTTTCCCAGCCACAAATTTCTTCCTCCTTCCTTTCATGTCAAACTATTTTCTTTAGCGCAAGAACAATGGACGAACACCTTGGTAGACCAAAGTTTTTAATATAGAAGCAAAAAATACTGTCCTAGGATTAGATGGTTACCTAAACATCTTGCGAATTTAATACTGTTCTGTCCTCCAAACCTTCACATATTAAACTATTCTTTAGACTTTCTGTTTTAATATTGTATATATGCTGAGAGAGTCTGCTGCAAGAAGATTTAGAGTTATCTTCAAAATCACTTTCTCTACTGGAAATCCTTGATGAATTTCCACTCTCTTT